AGCTCACCTGGAAGGTGCCGAGGCTCTCCTCCAGGTCGGCAAGCATCGACCACACCTTCAGGGACTTGTACACGCGGTTCTGCACCGGCTCGGAGCCGTCGAAGTACTCGGCCCGGCGGGCGGGCAGCGCCGTCGCCTTCTGCGGGGGCAGGGGTGGTGTCAGGCTGGCGCTCGGCCGGGCCGGCCCCTGCCGCACAGCCCGCAGCCCGGCGCGCTCACCCGCAGCAGCCGCAGCGCCTCGTCGTAGTTCTCGTGCCGCAGCTCCAGCTCCCCGCACTGGCACCACACGCTCGCCAGGTCGTCCACCTGCTTGAAGTTCACCTTGGTGGCCTTCTCCAGGATGACGCGGGCCTGGGGGCGTGGACGGAGCCCGGCTGAGACCCTGCGCGCCGGGTGACCCCTCCACAGGGAAAACGCACATGCAAACGTGACCGAGTTTCTCTCTCTCTCTCTCTCACACACACACACACACACACACACACACACACGGAGCGTGTCACTCACATCATCCAGCTGCCCGTTGTCCTCATAAAACTTGGCAAATGCGACCCACAGGGTGTGGGGCTTGCCTGTGGCCTTGAAGGGGTCCACCGTCTGCACGGCCTCCGTGTACGTGTTGATGATCTAGGGGCAGGAAGGCCAGGGTCAGCGCCCTGCAGCAGTAGGGTGGTGGGCCCGGGGGGGTGGGGGTGGGTGCTCACCTCCCGGGGGCGGCCCTGGTGCAGGGCCACGCGTTTGTGCCACTCGTGCACGTGGTGCGGGTTCTGGCGCAGCAGGACGCTATTCAGCAACAGGGGCCGCCGGCTGATGAGCTGCTCGAAGCGGGCCAGGCGCAGCTCCAGGTCCACGTCATCTGGGAGCCGAGGCCGGGTCGTGAGGGCCAGGGGTCTGGGTGTGAAGGCCTCAGCCCCAGGCCACCCACCCAGCCAAGTGCTCCAGGCCTTGGAGACCCCGCTGGGCTGGGCAGACCAGCCCCAGCCCTTCTGGAAAGCCCTCCTACCCTGCCAGGCTCTGGCTCAAGCCTGAGAAGTGTCCCCTCTCCAGCCCCACTGCTGGCCTCCGGCCAAGCCTCCCAGGGCTCACCCCATCTGCGACAGGCCCCAAGCTCCCCCAGTCCTTCCCCGCCGGCCAGGGCAGCCCCGGGGCGCACCCTCCTCCTCGCGCCCCAGCTCAGAGGCCGTCTCCATCTTAGCAGCGATCATGCTCTCCTCGAACTGGGCGTAGCTGTCGAACACCTGCGTGAAGTCGCGCACGGTCATCACGGTCCGGATGGCTTCCTCGTACACGTCCCGAGCCTGCAGGGACAGACGCAGGGATGAGAGCAAAGTGCTGGCAGGTGAAGGCCCACCTGGTGCCCACTGGGGAGCACAGCAAACACCCGGAATTCCCACTGAGCCCACCCGGCCCTGCCCTGTGCTGCTGGAGCCGCCTTGGGAGTTCCCATGCCTCCCAGACCCAGGGCCCAGACCATGAGTACTTTGGCACCCAGAAGTGACCAGCAGCTTCCCGGACCCCACAGGTCCACCCTGTAGCAACCTTGACCTCAGCTGCCCACAGAGACCTCCGTCTGTGCTCAAAGGCCCCCTCATGCCTGCCTGCCTCCTCTGGCTCACCTTCTCCCAGCCACCCCCACCCCACCCCTCACCCACTGGATCTCAGCCCCATCTCCCCGCGTGCCCCTGTCTCTGCCAGCATTGGCGGTGCCTCTCTGGATGGGGCGTGGTAAAACGTGCACCTGCTCAGCCCCACTGTGGCTCCCGGAGCCAGGCAGCCCAGGAGCCTCTCCTCAGTCTGCAAGGGCCCCAACAGACCTCCCTGAGCGCTGCCCACCCCAGCCTCCCTCCTCGACCCCCCACCCCAGCCCCGCCCCACTCAGCTCCCACCTTTTCTCAGGCTGCAGGAACCCCAGCCAGCCCCTTGGGGACTCTCAAAGCCCCACCTGCTCAGTCCCTGTGATACCCCTTCACTGCCTGACAACGAAAGCAAGGTAACAGGGGCCGGTGCTGTGGCAGAGCGGTAACACCGCTACCTCCGATGCCAGCATCCCATACGGGTACTGGTTTGTGTTCTGGCTGCTCTGTTCTAGCTCCCTACTAATGGCCTGTGAAAGCAGCAGCAGATAGCCCCAGCACAGGCCCCTGCCAACCCATGGGGGAGACCCAGATGAAGCTCCAGGCCTGGCACTGGATGTTACAGCCATCTGGGGGAGTAAACCAGCAGATGAAAGACTTCTGTCCCTCTCTCGATAATTTTCAAGATAAATAAATCTTAAAAAAAAAAAAAAAAAAGGCGAGATAGCAAGGCCAGCCACGGGAGAGGGTCCCTGTATCAGGCTCTTGCTTGGTGCCCTGCCAGCGTCTAACAGATCCCCTAGTGGCAAGGGAGCTACCGTACCCTCATTTTCCAGTGGGGTGGCACACAACCAGAGCCTGCCCCAGCCACAGCCAACCCCATGGCGCCACATGGCCCTGCCTTCAGGACAGCTGTGGTCATGGACATGCGTCTGTCACAGATGGCATGTGTTTCCTGCCCATGCTTGCACCTCCCAAGTGTTGAAGGTGGCCTGCCCCACACCCACCTTCTCGAAGTGGCCGCTGCGGATGTAGTAGTCGGCCAGCGAGCACCAGAGCTTGCCCAGCTGGTCGGTGAAGCGGGTGAGGCCCCCGCGGATGATGGCGTCCACGTTGAGGGACTGCACCTTGTCTGGGTTCTGGGAGATGAGGTCACACAGCTCGTGCCACAGCTGCAAGGCAGGTGGAAGGGGCCTAAGCTTGGACTCCGGGCAGTGGCGTCCCCAGCGCCGGCCCCACCCAGCCCCCCACAGGCTCACCTGGTAGTTGGACTTGCCCGCCTTGGACACGAACCGCTCATCATTCACCACGGTGGCCAGGCGCTGGGCGGCCTCATCCAGCCGGTCGCTCGACTTGAGGTACTCAATGTATTCTTCTGCGCTCTCAGGACTCAGCTGGGGACCGCCCGACCCCACCGACGATCAGTGGGGCTGTGGGGCTACACGCGCCACCCCCCGCCCCGTACAGGCTCTGGGCCTGGAGCCACTGACCTGGCCAACAGTCAGCCCCCCTGCCTCCCAGCCCCGCGGGAGCCCTCCCTCACTCCTGACCACTCCAGCCCTCCATCCACCTCGGCCCCACTGGTCCGGCCTTGATGACAGCGGTCTAGCCTGGGCCCCGTGGGTCCTGCCCAGACCAGGCCTTGCTCTCATCACAATCCCCCCACCCCAGCAGTGCTGTGCTGGCTCGTGGCGTACAACTGCCCAAACTGCACCCCACCCTACCCGCACCTGCTCTCTCAACCCTGCCTGCCCCAGCCCCACCCAGCCACCTCCTGCCCTCACCATGGCTGGGGTCTTATCCTGGCTTAGCTGTCAGCTTGAATGCACCTGTCTACCCAGTTAGACTGGAAGCTCCGTGCAGGTGGGGACTGGTTTATTCACACTGATCCCAGCACCTGGTTCTAGGCTGATGTGGAGCAGGGGCCAGCAAACTACTTAGAAAATGAAGAAACAAGTCACAAGCAGAAGCTGTGTGTCTCCGGGAGCCCTCTCCTCCCATCCCACACAGGGCACTGGCCCACCTGATGCACTCACCTTGAGGAAGCGCCGGTAGCCTCGCACAGCGGTCTCCGGCAGGGGGTGTGAGCGCAGGAAGCGCAGGTACAAGGGCCAGATCCGAGAGTGCTGTGTGATGGGCAGGGCCCGGAGGGCGCGGTCGAAGGTGCGGCGGGTGTGTGTGACGCGGCCCTGGTCCATCAGGAACTGGCAGTAATCCAGCCACAGACGGGGCATCTGCACGCGTGGGCGGAGGCAGCCAGCTGTGAGCCGTGACAGACACCAGTGTCCCGTGGCCAAGCTGCCTCTGGG